GGTCAAATTTTAAAAACAATTCGGCATCTGAAGAGGTCGATTTAACTATTTTTCTATAGAGAAATAGTTTTTATAAGCAGGTTTCTAAGTAAATAAAGTCAGTTTTATATTAAAACGGAACAAATGCTAAAATTCAAAAAATAAGCCCATTTATTGTGATTAGAACATCAATTTGAAATACAACTTTAGAGAGTGTGCACTATTATTTTGTAGGTTGGTTGTTTAGGTGATAGCGATTCGTTTTTAAGTTCAAAACAGTAGTGGTTTGTAGGGCGAAAGGATTTAGTAAGAAATGCAAGTGCATTGTGTGTTAAAGGACGGTTAGAAAAAATCTACTGGCTACAAAGGTGAAGGCTAATGTAACCATTATTTGAAAAAGGGTGAAGGGGAGAGAGAGGAAGAGGTGCTCAACACTGACATCACTAGCACCATCTCAACTAAAACTGCCTGTCTAGCGATAAAGGAAGGAATTGAAGGTAAACTTGTGAACTGGATGCAGTGATGGCAACTGGCGACGAGTGAAAAATCACTTTCGGTAAATGGCAAATAATTGGTGCTGTCAGTAGCAATGGTTTAAGGCATTAGAAAACAAATATGGGTTGAAACGGTGATTGGTGTGTGAGAAGTATAGCAGGACAAAGGTAAAGTTGATTGCAACACTAAAAATGTGCAGTTAAAGTGTGCTGGTGTAAACATGTGGTTTGAGACGCTAGGCAAAGTGTTGTGGCGAGTCGCTGAGCTGAAATGATTTAATCCTAGAAGGAAGAGGTCGGCAACGAAAAGTTTAGGCACAAAAAGTAAGAGAGAGTAAAAGAAGGGACATATCTCCTAAACGGAATCGTTGTAAAGGCAAGGGCTGGTTTGACTGGTTTGAGTGTTACAACTGGGTACACTTGAAAGTGAAAGTCAAACAGATGATGGCCATCCGACATCAAGAAAAGTGGCGGCGGTAAAAGCGAAAGGAAATCTAGAAAAGAAAGGAAGAAAGAGGGAGAGTTGGGCAGAGAAGGTAAAGGAAAAGCTGGACTCAAAAAAATGTTCATCATTCACTGGTCAATGAGTCCAATTGCAAAACATTCCTAGAACATATGTACATCCGGTATTTGCAGTGGAAGAGGGTGTGTGGCTGAGGGCATGTGCTCTTCTCACATCACAATGGCTTACACCCATGCTCGTGTTGAGGCACTGTGTAGCTGTGAGTGTGGGTGTGTGGGTGTGTATGGGTGTGTGAACAATAAGCAATCTCATTCTCAGGTATGTGTTAAGAGCTATGTACAGATGAAACGCCTCAACTTCAGTAGCATAAATAAAATGTAACAACAAAAGAGTGAGAAAGAGATTGCTAAACAACCATAAATATCCACAGACTCGTAAGCACCCCCGCTCACCGGTGTCAAGAGCTCGAGGGCAAATGTGGGTGTGTGAGTGTATAGAAAACGTAACAAATATTAAAAATTTTCTATAACAAGTGAACAGCTAGATAAAGTTAAAATTAGCGGCAATATGTACAGGTGAACGGACTGGCCACTAGAGCCATCTTCATTCAGTTCCACCGTCAGGTGTGAATGAAAAAGTATAATAAATTAATTAGTTAAATAATAACAAAAAGTTCATCATCATCATCGAGTTGTGGTTGGGGTGTGTACGCTGAATGTCATTGGCTTGTGGGGAAAGGTGTAAAAGTGTTCTATGGCATTGCACAGTGATTTTCAGCTGTGTTCCAAGGTGGCGCGTACGATTCTCCACTCACAACAGTCAAATAATAGTTGGCAAATTTGTAAAAAAGCTAGTTACACAGTGCAAAGACTTTGTCCGGAGATTTTAGCAAAAGGTAAAAAGCTCGTGTTTGTTCCAAAATATATCTTGCAGATTTGTCTTTAAATAGAGAAAAGTAATTGCACTTGCTTGAAGTTAAGCTGTCGAGAAAAGTGTTGTATTTCAGACAGAAGACGGTGTGTAGAGTGTGTAGAGGGCTACATTGCAAATTTTTCGGATCAATATCGAATATGGCGATGTTGAGCTCGGAGGAGCCCGCTTCACGTGCTGTTTCAGTGTAAGGCAGAGTTGAAAAGTGTAGAGAAGGCTGGCGGCTGAAGATTTATAATTGCAGATATGAAGAAATATTGTCTAGTTATATAAGGTTCGGTAGGGGTTACAGTTTTCAGTATAAAGGATACAAAGTGTCGCAGAAGGTAGTAGTGCACGTTGAGCAATTCAGAGTGTGGTAGAGAAAGTAGGTGTTGAAGAGGCAGAGTAAAGATTAATCAAAATAGAATTACTATATCGGTAAAACAAGATGATTGCGGAACTGGAAAACAAAGAAGAGATAAGGAAAGCGCCTGCTAAGAAGAACTAGTGGTGGACGGTGGTGGTGGTGGTGGCTCTACGGTTGCCTTGCTCTCAGTTGTCGATGGTTCACTGGAAGCTACTCTGGCAGTGTCTGCTGTCGTCGTCGTCTCCTCGGCAGCTGTTGTGCTGGCAGCGGCAGCAGTGGCCTTGACACTTTTAGGCGTATCACTTGTCTCACTGGTCGGCGACTTGGCTGCGGCAGTAGACTTGCCGCTGGCAGAGGCCCCAGTGGACTGTTTGCCCGATATTCTGCTAGTGTGCACAAGCTGGGGCGACTGTTGACTGGAAGGAGGCCCACTGGTGGAGCGCATGACGATCAGACGAATCTGCCGTTGAGCGTAGAAGTTGGAGGTAAACTCGCCGATGATGTGCACCGCCGTCATGTCATCTGGTGTGACTCCACCGGTGCTGCTCTTCCTATCACTAGCCCCCTTCTCCGCGTCGGAAGCTCCGTTGGGAGGGGCAGCAGCAGCAGCAGTTGATGCAGAGGCTGACCCTGAGCCAGCGACGGTTGCAGCGGTGCTGTGGTGGTGTTGCGTATCCTTCGACAGTTTAATTGTCGTGCCCGTTGTTCTCTGCAGCTCCTGAATCACCGATCCATTCTTGCCGATTATTCGGCGGACAATGTTTGTGGGCACTAGAATCTCCACTTTCAGTATCGCCGGGTCGCCGTAGAGTCCCACTGGCGGTGAGGTGGAGGAAGAGGAAGCAGCCTGGTTGTACAGTTCAGAGAGCACTTTTTGAAAGACAAAGAATTGAGCTTGGTACTGCGAGTTGGCAGTGCCGACGATGGTCACTCTTCGTTCAATGCTCTTCCCGCTGTCCTGTGAAGAGGAGGAGGCCGTCGGAGAGGGAGAACTGGCCAACGGGTCTTCCGATTCACTCTGCTGTGCGACCTATAGTTGCGTAAAGTTAAAAATCAATCAATTTAGAGAAACGGTAATAGAGTAGGTAGATGCAAGATTACTTTAATGCTGGCGCCCGAGTTGGTGATCATGTCACGAATGGACTGCCCTCCGCGGCCGATGATGGCACCGACGACGGTGTTGGGAATATAGACCGTAGACGTCTCCTTGACGTTGTCCACACTGGCAATGGTGGCAGGATGCATGTACCCCCCTGCCCCCATGCTCATGTACGATGCTCCCGGCGGCGGAGCACTGCTGTAAGCTGCCATGGCAGTGGCCGCAGAGGAGGGGCCCGCAGTGGGGTAGCCGATGTAGGGCACAGTGTAGCCCCCGTAGAAGGCGGCAGGAGGCGGTGCCGTGGGCGAAGGCAGTGAGTGGTGCAGGTGATGGCCAGCTGGTCCGCCGGCCCCCGAGGTGCTCGGTGCGTTGCCATGCTGTGCTGCGAGCACTGCACCACGAGCGGCCAGCGAGGGCGAGGCGGCGCCCAGCGAGTAGGGCAGCGAGGTCTGTGCCGGGTGTCCACCGGCCGTGCCGTACCCGCCCGACAGTGCATTCAGCGGACCTGCAGCTCCGGGGTGACCCATCGGCACCGGCGGCATCGAAGTGGGCAAACTGGCGTAGATGAGTGATTGCTGGTACTGGTACATGTCACTCTCGAAGCACTGACGCAGCTTCTGCGTGATCAGACCTTCGGCCTTGCACATGTTCTCCAGCGATCCGGTGATGGAGATGATGCGCTCTAGATTCATCTGAGAGGCAAGGTTGGCACTGGTAGAGAGAGAGAGAGAGAGAGAGAGAGAGAGATTAAGTAAATCAGGTAAGTAAGTGGGTAGATTCATTAGCAAAGAAAAAACTCTGATTAGTCTCACCTGCTGACAGTAATTTTTGTTTCAGTTTGCTGCATGACTCGCTTAATCGTACTGCCGCCCTTGCCGATGATGCGACCAATGAGATTGTTTGAGGCGAGAATTTTCAGTACAAAGTCTTCAGGGCGATTCAGCGATCGAGCCTCCTGCTGCATGACCTCCAAAATGCGCCGACACGCCTGTGAGCAATTCTCGGGGTTTCCATAGATCATAATCACATTTTCATTTGCAGTTGAGCTTTCCTTTCGGTGAACATCAACACGAGCATGAGTCTCCTGAGTGATCTGCTTGATGGTGTTTCCACCACGACCGATGATGGCACCAACAAGATCTTTGAGTACTAGAATTCTGATGATAAAGCACAATAAGCAATTAGTAAAGACAGTGACATGACACCTTCTGATATATGTGCACAAAAACGAACCTCAGTGGCAATGTACTGTTGAATCGATACTGCTGCTGTTGAGACCATGGGTTGCTAGAGGCCGGAGCTGACAATGTTGAAGAAGGTGTGGTCGTAGAGCGTCTAAACTTGGCACCATTCGAGGCGGCCCCAGTGGAGGTTGAGGAGGAGCCGTTTTGGTGCTGCAGAACAGGCGAAGTGGACGTGCCAGGGGCAGCAGCAGTGGACGAAGCCGCAGAGGTCGACGATGCTTGCGGCTGCGTTGAGGGCTGCTTGCTTTTCCCTTGATGACTTGATTCCATTTTTAGTTGCATTTATTCGTATTTCTAGTTGAACACAAGTGCCAAGAACAAATCAAAATGAATCTCCTCTTTGGCAGAAAGGTAACAACGTCCTTTTCGGAAAATTTCTAAAAAATCCGCTCGAGGTATCGAGGACACAATATGTGTCAAGTCGAAGACTAATCCTGACGCTTCAACCGGTGAAGCTGATTTGTTCAAACGTGGGTAGATTCAGGTACACTTCATCAATGTTTCTGCAAACAATTAAAAACAATTATTAGAATACTTATAAAATGATTTGACTTGAGATACATTTCAAGGTCAACAAAACCATCTGTACTTAAATTCAGATATTTCACGATGTGCAACAAAAAACATTTAAGTGAAACAGTTTGACTGGTCAACAAAAGTGAGCAAAACTCAACTGAATTTTTGTAAAAACAATTTTTAATTCCTCATTCTTCCGCTTACTTTAGGTAAAAATGTTTTGATAAACTGCTGACGTTCTCAAAGTTTCATCCTTTCCGAAACATGTGGCGTGGTGTAGAAGAGCGCTTCAGTAGAAGCTGGGTGAGCGCGAGCGCACCTTCTCTCTGGCAAACATTGGTAGTGCTCAGTGATATTGTTCTCTGTTATATATCTCGTCATGTATAAAGCCTATAGTTATATCGGTGCTGTATTTGCAGCATGTTGAAAGCTGACAGTTGTCAGTTGAGCCATTGCCCAGTTGATGGGTTTCTACAACAAGTGCAGGCTGCTATTTGCATTTAAAACATAAAAATAGTTTTAAAAGAAAGTTACAATACAGTTGAGGCAATGGTTGTCTATAAAAGACAACAAAATAAAGTCGAGAGTTGGGTTGAGCATTTGACCGGCAAGTAATCAGTTCATCTGGTAAACTGCCATCATCAGTTTCAATGCGGAAATAAGCTGAAAAAGGGTGTAATCAATTGACTTGAAAGATATCTCAATTTTCATTCGTGTCCACACAATTAACTAAGAGAACGAAAAGTTTGCCAGACAAGAACAAGCGCAAGTGCTACTAGAAATGCCAGAAATGTTTGCTGAGTAAAGGAGGGCAGTCATGTTGGAAAGGACAGCAGGCTGCATACCATTCCCCTGCTGACCACACTGTTGGATAGATCAAATAAACAGTAGTAGAGGTACCGTGATTGCCGATGAAGCTTGCCCATGTATGTATGAATGTATTGGATGCAGACGGGAGGATGCATCAGGCTTTGCGGCAAGTTTGTGCCCTTCCTCTGTCCTTCGATGAGCCACCACCACTGGCCAGGTAGATCATTTAATTAATTATAAGGTCGTTAATAGACAGGCAAATGTCGTTTAAGTGAATGAGTTGTCCGTGCGGTGCGATGGGGCAATGAGAGGAGAAGAGAAAGAAATGAATGAAGTGGAGAGCAGAAGGGGCAACAGGGAGTAGAGGGAAAAGGGCAATGTCGGCGTCGATTTGTCATTTACCGCTACATTGCCTCCGCTGCTACAAAGTCTAGAGGGCCAACTGCCGATTAGCGGCGATAAGGAGGCCGATCGTCTCGAGGACAGCTCAATGAGGATATGGAGCAGCGAGGAGAGGAAGGGAGCACAAGGGTGCAACCCCGATGCACACCGTACACCAGTGGTATTTGATGAGAGTGAAGCAGTGTCTGTCTGGCTGTGTGTGTCTGTGTGTGTGTGCTCAGGTAGAAAAAGAAGGTGCAAGACTATTTTCGAATGCAGTCGCCACTTGCAGTGTACACTGCAACAAATCCTCAAAGAACGACCACGATTGCGAAGGGGAGGGACAAGGCACTGGAGGCTACGAGGAGAAGGAAAAGAAGAAGATACTCGAGCAGTAGGAGCCTGTTAAGCGGCTCAGCCAACAAACATTACATCATCCAGTGCACAGAACACACACAGCCAGTCTTTCACTTCGAAGAAAGCTGACGACCAGGAGAACGAGAAGAAGGAGCACCGGCAAAACAGGCTCCCCGATGCGACTTCTGTCTGTGTCGTTCTTAGACTCTGTGTGCCAGTGTGCATGTGTGTGCAAGCTTCCACATGAAATGCCAAAAATGCTAATAATAAAAATAAAACGGGCAATTGTCAAAAAACGGCAAAAAGCAGACGAAACAATGTGCTGATTGGTAAGAAAGCTGTGGAGGGAAGAAGGCACTAAGAGTGCTTCGAGGCGGCATAGACACCGAGCTTCAAAGAAAGTTTTTGAGCACACTAACTGGCCAGAAAGAGGCACCGATCTGCAGCACAACTAGCCAGCCAGCCGTCCAGACAGACAGCCTTCGGGAAAAGAAAAAATAGTAGGCAAATATTTAGATGATGACCGACGATGAAAACGGGTTCGGGAATTAGCTAATGTGCACTCGGTCAAGCGATGAGCAGTGCAGAGGATTGCATCGCTTGCTGCCGATGCCTGTGATGGTAGTGTGCTCGGTGCCCAAAGGATTGCAGAGTGTGTGAAGCACATGCTTCGAATTGCGATGCGATGACCAATCGCATTTTTTTTGCCAGACTATTGCATATTGCCTATGCAGCTCGCTTAGTCAATACAAATACTGGGCCAATGAGAAAACAGAAACTCGAAGGCCCTGCAGCGAGAGAAAATGCAGGGAGCGGCAGTAGAAGCAATTAAAATGAAAATGATTCACTTTCGGTAAGTTATTTGGAACAAGTATGCGCCATTCTTTAGACGGGAAGAGAAAGAGAAAGAAAGATGATGACAGATGAGTCTCAGCTGGATAGCCGCTTTCATGTGTCAGGAGTCTGACTGAGATAGCTTATCGGCGTTAATCCAAAATTCCCAACAACTCTTGCATGAAAAAATACGTGACAGTGTTGTGTGCTCAAAGTACTACAGGATGAAAATTGACAGACAGCACAACAGCTCAGCTAAAAGGGAAAATCAAAAGTCCGCAGTGTTGTTGCCAGCAGTTGCCAGAAGAGCTGCCTCATCCGAACGCACAGTCCACCTGCACAATGGCAATCACCCAGTGAAACATCTAAGAGTAGGCATTTGTCTAATTGATTAATTAGATTAAAAGACTGGTAAAGAGGAAGAAGAGGAGCAGTGTCATTATCGAGTGCAGGTATCGCTTGACAGGCTCGGCCACTTTATCTTTGAACTGCACACCGTAAACCCGAGAGAAGAGTAGTGACATAAGGTGCGCGGTAGTGCATAGCTATTTGGCAACTTTAAATTGAAAACGGCAAAGCACTGAAAGAAGACAAATGAGTCATTTGAATTAGCCGGTCAGGCTTTACAACAACAAGACACATACGCACACAGAGCCCCTCGCTAAGTGGGGGACCTTCGAAGTTAACTGGCGCCTTCGAGGCCAAGTGGAGCTACCACGCTAACACTGCTGCCACACAGCCAGACGTGGGTAAAGTAAATACTGAAGAGGACATTGGAAACGACTGAAAATGCAAAGAAAAATGTATGTAATGCATGTATAATCTGGGAACAGGTTTACGGTCCACTAGTCGGCCAGGTGAGGGCAGGGGAGAAGAGGCAAAGGGCGAAGAGAGCGGCAATGGCTGCCCTCTCTGTCGCATGCTGCACCACACAGACAATGCCATCGCTAGTGGACACTGAGGCGACAGAAGCAGAAGGGAGGAAGGGGATGGCCAATGGGGCAAGTATCACTTTGGCCGCCTCAAGCTGAGGCGACCCGTCGCAAGAGTGCATCGACTGCGACGCCTGGCGCCGTGCGGTCGCCGTGGCTGGCAAGTGGTGCCGCCGCCACCACCAGAGTGATGGCGTCATTATCAAAATATGCGTGGAATTCACTGGCCGACTGTGTGCATCAAGACCACTGCTTGCTAAAACAGTCAGCAAGACAGTGTCAGCGTCCAAAAGCCTCAATGGCACTGGTAAACGATGATATAATTGGCGAAAGCGACTGAGAGACGAGCTCAGATCAAGCGATAGAGAGAGAGAGAGCCAGGACGCCGATAGAGTTCGGCAGGTCGAGGCTACTACGGCAGTGCGGAAATAAGGCAGAGGGAAAGAGCATGGTTACCTCTAATGACACTCGCTGTCGGGAAACTTGATCCCACGATGACTTTGTGCCGGTGTCCGCTGCTTCGGCTGCTGTCACTGTTACTCGTTTGTCATCGCAATCGGTGTGCCATCAGCGGTGAGTGAAGTACTTGGCGCCGACATCGTGTCTCCCTTCTAGGGTAAGTTCACCGGCGAAAATGAGCTGAACTGTACTGATCAGAGGATGCAAACTCGAAGAAGCAAATGGATGAACAGGCTGGCGATATACGATCAGGTGATTTTCACTTGTCATTCGCAGTGGCAGTATCCTGGTGACGAACTGGTTTCCCTTTCCCCGTGGAAGATCAACTAAAACTGCACTTTATCAGAAGATGAAGCGGCGAAATTAAAGAATGTCAGCTGTAGAACATCGATGGAACTATCGATTGTTGGAAAGTTGTTTTCAATTTTTCTAGCGCCAAGAGTTAAAGAAGAAACAGTACAGGAGACTGTCGAATGAAACAGTGATGGACAGTGATTGGAGTCGACAAATCACAGAATGAAAGCTGGTAAAGTGTAAATGGAAGAACGGCAGGTTGCTGTGGTAGTCAGCAGAGACTGAGAGCGCAGTACTTTGAAGAAGTGAGTAGATTGGCCAGTAAGGTATGAGTAGAGTATTGGATGGTGATAAGTTTCAGTAGAGCAGTAAAGAGGCTCGAGTTAAAGCAGTGTGGCAGTAAAGTGGTGCTAGACATTGACCGTTGTGACAAAAGGTGACCACAACGGGTGCCCTGGTAGTGATGATTGTGTAAAAGAACTTCCAAACTTGGATGACTCTTGTAAAAGGAGAGTCATCCGCAAGAAGGTGTATTCAGGCAGTTAGCATTTGCTTATTCTTTTCATGCTGGCCGGACCAGCTGATTCAGCTCTAGTCGTAAAAGTTGGCATTGAAAGTGAAAGACTCTTGAATCGCTCTTGTGCCGACTGTGTCTCACGTCATTGTGTGATTATCACAAGAGTAGTAGAAGAGACCGGCAGCAGACAAGCCATCGGACTGCAAACCATCGAAAGTCTGGAGATCACTGGCAAAACGGACAGTCAGTACAAGTGAGGGTAAGAGGTAGGTGTGTGTTTGTGTTGAGCACAGAAATGCACAGTGATCAGCTGTAAGTGATGGCGGTAGTGAAGAGGCGGTAGAGCAAGCAGTCTTCCGTTAGAAGCAGACCCGAGCAGACGACAACTGTGGTCCTCGTTCGA